ATGATGACGTTTTAATAGGTTGTACCGCTTATTTAGGTATAATGTATGACATTTCGCTCTGCGTGCTGAATCCAGTTCCTGCAAAAGCTGCCAGTTACGTGGTGCGAAACGCCGGACTCCACCAGGAACAATTCGCAGTGCTCTGAAAACGCATCGGAGAGCTGTGCAACACAGCCACAAACACCTACGCAGTTAGAATATTTTTTTTGGGAGGGGTATTTTTTTAGGCCTATCTTGGCTTGCTCGTGTTTAATTTTGGATGCTATGCGCTGACTTTTGAGAAGTGGCTGGACTGGGTAAGCAGTGCCGGACTGAGAGCCGGGCCAGTGGGTGGGCGTGCTGGCCGCACCTTGCCCTGGGAGCGAACTCTTCGCTTGGCTTTGTGAGGCCGTGCTCGGGGGAAGGGAAACGCAGGGAGAGGGCGCAGGCACCAGGTGGTGAAACACACAGCTCGAGTGAATTTGTTTTATCATGTGCGATATTGGTAGGAACATAAGACGTTGCTGAAGGATGGCAGAAGGTTATGCATTTTATGTCTTATTTATTTTTCGAAATTGCAATTTAACTGCATCCCGATGGTGCGTTCTGCATCACGTCATGAGGGGAAACACATTTTATGAACTCTTGCAAAGCAGAGGCGACCCTTCATGTTAAAGAACGGCCCACGGAAGTAGATGTCACAGAGCTACTTTTGAGATCCCTTCCAGTGACCTCTGATCCACACACAGTAGGGGGCAGCACTGTGCCACGCGCTCTGCTATATGAGAGTAACGTTTGTTGCCCGATAACATAACCGATATATATTCTCTATTTCGCCAAATTAATTACAAAACCAAATTTTGTGCGATGAGTTTTGTATTATTATTTTTTAAAATCATTGGTGACCGGGCTGACTCGGGCGGAGAGCACCAACTCGCATGCACGTTGGGTCACCTGTGATGTAGCCGAACGCAGCTTGATCCCAGGTGACCTTTGAGCCAGCTGGCCACCTCCACAGATGTTCTTTTCTCTTGCCAGAGGTGTCATCAGCTCTGATTGGACAAGGACCTGCAGGCAGGAGGCTGCCTCTGCACGTGTCAGCGCTCCATCTGTGGGAGATGAAAGTCATACATTTGCCTGGCAAAATAACAATGTACGAATGTACAGAAGCAACGTTTCATTTGCAACTATTACAGTGCAACGTTGTTGACTAATTAACCACCCTCACCCAGTGCAAGTGCTTGCACTCGGTGTCGCCATGGTTATTTTTACAGATGTTTACAAATCTGACATCACAACGTAGCGACGCGTTCTCAAAATTGCGTACATTCGCGTGCAGTACTTTCAAAGTAGAGCATAGCAGTAAATTTTCCCACGCTTAAAAGAAGCTTGCGCTCCAGCAACCTCCACGTGCAAGGTCGCCATTTTGTTTGTATAGATATTTGCAGAACCGACGTCGCGTACGGTCCCCGGGCCAGCCGCGTGCCAGCCGCGTGCACGCAACGTAGCCTGCCGTGCATCTAAAACAGTGGAGTGTCTCCGATCTCAGTATTTTCGAGCAGATTTGGTAAATTGTGTTTCAGCGAAGACACCGAGCAAACGAGTTGGACACCAATCCAGGGCAGGTGCATGACAGGTACAGTTTGTGTCTCAGAGCTCTGTAGGGTTGGGGGGGGATTGGGGCTTGGAGGGAGGAGGAGTGGCTGTCAAACGAGCCGGTTGGTCGAATTGCACCAAATTTGCCCCGGGCTTTTGTGAGTCAGGCGCCGATCCCGTGGAACTGGGGGGGGGGGGGGGGGGGGGGGCGAATCTCTGGCGCACGCAGCGCTGCAGTGGTCCCCAACGTGTCGAACGTGTCACGAATGTTTGGCGGTGACGCATTCCAAACAAACACAAACATCGTTGGTGCTGGGGGGGGGAGATAGGTGTTTGGTATTTTTAATCGAGCCCGCGTGGATTTTTTAGAATAGGCCTTTCGTGTTTATTAATAATAAAACAATGACCTCATGCAGAATTTATTTTCAAATCTATTTTAGTGAATTTGCTGACGCATCAAGGGAAGAGCTTTTTTAGCAAGCATAGGCACAGAGGCCACCCAGTGTTGCCTCTTCTCAGGGTGAATGGCTTTTTATTTCATTTCATTTTGTTCTCTGCTGATTCTAATAAACCATAAACAATAGCATACTTGACTTAAAGCTTTCGTGACTGCAGGAATTCATATTCTTTGGGTCTTTCGGTAAAGTCACGTAGATAGGTTAAAAAAAATAACAAAAAACTACGACGTTTTGATCGCAACACAAGCGGTCGTCATCAGGAAAAGGTGGTTAGCTTCTAAAGGCAAACTGTTTATAAAGGTTTGAAACAGCCAATGTTAATGTAAGTGGTGGGCACCTCGGTAACCAGATGGCCACAGACTTCACTCTTGGCCAGTGCCAGGCTGCAGCCAGCTTGCTTCCTCGCTCCTGCCGCTCCTGGCATGCTCTTGTGGTCCCAGATGTCCCACCAGGCCCTGGTTCAATCCCCAGGTCGGCCGCTGGAAACATATAACAATAATAATGTCACCGAACGTTTCCCTATAAAATATCTACGTACTATGCCACAGTATGTGGTTTTGTCCATGATGACTGTCGCATTACCCTTGTCGGCTGAGAGGATGACGATGTCATCTCTCTAAACCATAGAGCTTGATGTATTTCCGACCATCACCTAGCCAGTGAACTGAAACACGTACACCAAGGTCTCAAGATGAATGGATATTCAGACTACACAATCCGTAAAGCTATCACCCCAACCGTTGGCAAAGAACCATCTGAGGACCTTAGCAAAACCATCACCTTGGCAAACATAGCAGGGGTCAGCAAAAAGATCTCCAAAATCATGAGCAAACACAAGATCCTGGTTCGATTTGACACAGTACATAAATTTCGTGATCTGATCCCATCTGTGAATGATGTGATCCCTGACATGCAATACCCCGGCGTCTACAAACTAAGCTATGTCTGCGGCAGTAGTTCCATTGGAGAAACTAAGCGACATGTCTCAGACCGTGTTCGTGAACATAAGGCAGATCTGAAACACAGTAGGACCAATACCTCGGCCGTGGCAGATCTGTTTTATGTGGTGGGCTCACGCGAAATTTATTTCTCTAAGACGAAGGTACTTTGCAAACCCACTGGCTATCAACAAAGATTAGTTCATGAAGCCATCCATATATACAGACAAACACAATTTCAATCCAGAAAATGGGAATAAACTGAGCAATCATTGGAAGGACGTTATCAACCAGTTTAAGTCATAACTGGCTGTGATGTTCCCATCCTACCACCTTCCGATGTTGTTATTTTCGGCTCTTTGATTTGGCATTAACAGGTTAAATTTCGATTTAAAGCTTTCGTGACTGCAATGATCCATCTTCTTTGGTTCTTTCGGTAAAGTCACTTTACCGAAAGAACCAAAGAAGATTAACAGGTTAAATTTCTCACCCTAACACAGCCACCGCGCTCGCTGAGCTCGAGGTTGCTGCTCTGCGTTCTCCCATTAACATGTTAATCTCTCACATTAACATTCTACTCTCTCCCATTAACATGGTAATCTCTCACATGAACATTCTACTCTCTCCCATTAACATGCTAATCTCTCACATTAACATTCTACTCACTCCCATTAACATGGCAATCTCTCACATTAACACTCTACTCTCTCCCATTAACATGTTAACCTCTCACATTAACATTCTACTCTCTCCCATGACCATTTTACTCTCTCCCATTAACATGCTAATCTCTCACATTAACATTCTACTCTCTCCCATGAACATTCTACTCACTCCCATTAACACGCTAATCTCTCACATTAACATTCTACTCTCTCCCAGTAACATGCTAATCTCTTACATTAACATTCTACTCTCTCCCATTAACACGCTAATCTCTCATTAACATTCTACTCTCTCCCATTAACATGCTAATCTCTTACATTAACATTCTACTCTCTCCCATTAACATGCTAATCTCTCACATTAACATTCTACTCTCTCCCATGAACATTCTACTCACTCCCATTAACATGCTAATCTCTCACATTAACATTCTACTCTCTCCTATTAACATGCTAATCTCTCACATTAACATTCTACTCTCTCCCATGAACATTCTACTCACTCCCATTAACATGCTAATCTCTCACATTAACATTCTACTCTCTCCTATTAACATGCTAATCTCTCACATTAACATTCTACTCTCTCCCATGAACATTCTACTCACTCCCATTAACATGCTAATCTCTCACATTAACATTCTACTCTCTCCTATTAACATGCTAATCTCTCACATTAACATTCTACTCTCTCCCATGAACATTCTACTCACTCCCATTAACATGGTAATCTCTCACATTAACATTCTACTCATTCCCATTAACATGGTAATCTCTCACATTAACATTCTACTCACTCCCATTAACATGCTAATCTCTCACATTGACATGCTACTCTCTCCCATTAACATTCTACTCTCTCCCATTAACATTGTACTCTCCCATTAACATGCTACTTTCTCACATTAACATGTTACTCTCTCCCATTAACACTCTACTCTCTCCCATTAACATGCTAATCTCTCACATTAACTTTCTAATCTCTCATATTAACATTCTACTCTCTCACATTAACATTCCACTCCCATTAACATGCTAATCTTTCACATTAACATTCCACTCTGCCATTAACATGTTAATCTCTCACATTAACGTGCTAATCTCTCCCATTAACATTCTACTCTCTCCCATTAACAAGCTAATCTCTCACATTAACATAACCACCTCAGGGCGCTGAACGTGGAGCATGTTACATTAACGTGCTCATTTTTTACTTGCCAGCCCTTTGATTGGTGGAAAACCCACCACCGTTGTGGTCGCTGCCCACCACCAACATTGGCTGTTTCAAACCTTTATCAACAGTTTGCCTTTAGAAGCTAACCCCCTTTTCCTGATGACGACCGCTTGTGTTGCGATCGAAACGTCGTAATGTTTTGTTGTTATTTTTTTTACCTATCTGCGTGACTTTACCCGAAAGACCCAAAGAATATAATAAAATACTTATTGTTCACAAGGTTTGCTTATAACCCAAAGACCATTCCCGTAACGAGTCTATGGATAAAAATTGCGCACGATGTTTTTTTTTATATCGAGCCATCTTACACCCAGCTTCCCTAAATCCATAGCTTCAGTTACTATTTAACATTTCTTAAGGCCCACAGAGTGATAATGTTCTTTCACAGTTATAATAAGTGTGACAATTTACTTCCTCCCATGAAACAAAGAGTTATGGATTGTGTTTTAATTCAATTCAGTAATCTTTTTTTTTTATCTCATTCGTGTTATTGTCTTATGTGAAGATTTCTCTTGCCCCATTATCCTACATTTTAATACAATTTTCATGGAATTTGTATGCAACGTTAAAAAAATATATCAATTCTCACACGTAACATTAGTCGCGCATCTCCTTAGCGTGAATGCCTGTTTGAATAAGTGCATCGTGATATGCTAATTATCTACGTACCATAAGTGACGATGTCAAACTTCATTAAACATGGTGGCTGGGTAGGTCATACGTCAGAACGTTGAGCTGACACGACTGAGCTCCTGGGTTCGAGTCACCTGTGATTAACCCGTAATGTCAAGTCTAACTGTTTTTATGGGCTTAGCCTGGTCACCAATGGCTTCCCGAAAACCGCGGCATGGATACCGTGCAGGAGAAATTTCGAATGTGGGGTGGGGGGCGGAAGGTGAGCCCCACGTTGCGGCAACAAGACACGCCCGCACTGCAGGTGTGGGCACGCGATCTCCGAGTAAGGGGGGCATTGGTGGCATTGGTTGTGTGTTTGGGGCTGGGCAAGGGGGCCGCCGGGACCGGCGCTCTTCACTGGAGACCACACTTCCCTCAGCGCTTTTTTGAGGAAGCGACGGTCACTGGCGCGACGCTCGCCAGGGGGGGCATCTCAGGACACGGGAGGAGGGGAGAGAGAGAGAGAAAAAATAACTCGCCGTTGCCCAAAAACGTGGCGCCCGCTCGCAGCCCTCGTGATGGATTATATTTGCCACGGAACTGGTCCACACGCCCCTTTGATGTGACTTTTGCTCCACAAAATATCCGGCTAAACTGGACCGGAGGACAAAGAAGGAGACGCGCAGGCCATTTTGCGTCGCGCCCGATTGAGAAACGCCCACCACGAGCTTTTCCGAGAGGCCTCGTGGACAGCAGGACCCGTGGATAAATCATCGGCGCAATTACACTCGTCGGCGCTCCGTCGCCTGCTAACTGGCCGGGTCACGGAGGGGCCATCCCACCCCAATTACGCTCAATTAGATTGCGTCCCCTTCACCGCCACCGCGCCACTGATGGGTACAGTTAATCACCGCTGGTTTTTATAATTTATGTTTCACTGAAGCAGGTGAGGGTCGTGCCGGACGTTTTATCTCATGCAGTGAAGCCTGCGATGAATCGCAGTGAAAACTAAATACGAATGTGAACAGAAGTGTAAGATAATGAAATATGTAAAGATCTCTTTATTTTACTGTACTTCCTTACGTACATTGGCTGCAAGTCTGTTTGTTCACTGCCAGGGTTTGACAAACCACTCCAGCTCAGTGGTGAGTGCGCCGCGCTAAGAGCCCAACAGTCAGAATTCAACGCCCGGCGATGGCTAACATCAGTGATGAGTGATGTCTAAAGGGACCTTTACCAACCCAGACTGAGCCGAATGCTATGGTCAAATAATTCCATGGTCAAATAATCCCCATGACCGATACTGTGTGGGGAGGCCTTCAATCCAGCAGTGGATTGATAAAGAGATGTAAATTAGATTATTAACTGTACACATTTCCCGAGTTTGAAGGTATCTTCTTTTGTTTGCAAGGCAGAGTTTGACAAACCGTTCTGCCAATGCCAGTTCTACTATACATGTTTTGACAATGTGGGCACTTTTTTTAAATGTGGCACGCTGTTCCAATCCCAAGTCGTGTTCTAACAGCATTACATCGCTTGGTGCAGAAACTGCAAACACGAGCAAATAATGTGAATGCGATGTGGCTTGGGCCCCGTAGACCTGCAGTTGGCCTTCACGAGCCGACGCGACGTTAAAATGAAGTCAATAAACGCAGAAAATCGTGTACACGCAGTCACAACATTAAAACCAAGAGCGCATCTCTGCTTTTTCTCTGATTGCACAACAGAAATAATATTATCGCTTTGGCCCAAGTGGCATTTATTGCAAAATAATTGCATTTATATCTCCCGATGAGGTCCCACGCTAGTATAAGGGGCCTCTTGGATTATTTATGTCGGGAGCAGATGCAATGGCTCTGGTTTGTAGGATTTGGTTTGGCGAGAGCGTTTGTCGTTTATCCGGCATGGCGTGCGGTGCTGTTAAGTTAGGCGACGTGTGTACGGGCCCTGTGCATGTACGGGAAATTTCTATTTCCACTTGGATTGAGTTTTTTTTTTCTTTTTCAAAAACCCCAATGAAAAATGTTTTTTCGGAAGTTTCCAGCCCCGGTGGCGAAATTTCATAGCGGTGAAGTGGCCGACGCGGTCGCTCAGAAAGAAACCAGAAGCCAGCGGTGGCAGGTGCCTCATTGTTCCACGTCCCACGTCCCACGCTGTCGCCCCACGTCCTCAACCCATGCCTCTCACCACAACCCCCTCACCCCATGTCACTCACCACATACTCCTCACCCCATGCCCCCCTCACCATATGATCTCACCCCATGCCCATTACAGAGTGGTCCCACATCCCATGCACCCCCCTCACTCAGTGCCCCCTGTACCCGATGGAATGGGCCCCCCCACTGAGACCCAGTGGGAGAGAGCCGTGGGTTTCTTGAGCAACTCCGCGGGGGACCCGGGACCGGATTTTCCAGCCGAGGTTTCCGGGGGGAAGCCAAGGCGCGTTGCGCAGCAGCAGCTGAGGGACGGGAGTTTTTGTGGCCACTGTTGGCGTGGCGCCAGACGCATTCTGAATTTAAAAAAGTTCTTAAAATAGACGTATTCCACAATAGCGTCGTTTTGTGCGGAGCTTTTGTGCATAAACGTGCACCGTGTGTATGGAGCATCACCGGGCCCATTGCTTTACGGGCGCGAAGTTGCCGCAGTGAGAACCGTGCTTGGGAACTTTATCACTTGACTTTACAGGGATAATTTGTTTAAACCATTCAGTGGAGAGGCAAAAGTAATTTTTTTCACTCATCTTGGACATTGCTTTCGGTAAGATTGGACCACCCTCGGTGCCAAAGTTGCCAATTCACTTCCGGCTTGTTCATCTGCAGCGAATGCAGCTTCGCCATCTTTCCGTGGAATCTCAAATTGCGCAGACAAACAAGTTCCGTGCTGCGACCAAACAGCGCGCTTGAATGCGTACAGCAACAAACTGCTTCTGACGAACCAAAAAAAGACAACAAGTTGGGGAAACCCAAAAAAATGTCACACTCGGCAGAGGGCACCTGTGGTGCAAACCCTCGTTTCGTGCCAGTGTCGGTACAGTGAGCGGAACGGCGTAGTGGAATAATAATAAAAATATGCCCGTGATTGGTTGGTACGCGCCTCCCACCCCCCAACGGCAATGCAGCCACGTAGGAAAGGGAAGAAATTCTCGGGGCTCCCGGCGAGAGGGAACCTCCCGCTCTCCCGCCACTGTGCGGGCCGTGCGCAGGTTGCGCACTCGCTTGGAGCGCGGCCGGCGGACGAGAGAGAGCAGCGAAAGGGCGCGCTAGTTTTTTGTCATGCCTTGGATCAGTGAGGTTTTGCGTCGTGAGCGATATGTGACCCGATAAGAATTCGAATTCGGCGGCGAGTCTCAATTCAGCAGCAGCACCTCAAGATGCCGGACAGCGGCAAGGGAGCGCGGGTTGCGGACAAAGGTGAATGGATGGATGTGTGAGAGGGCGGAGGGGATCTGTGTGACAACAGCGACAAGAAGCTGCGCTAAGGTGTAGCGGCAACAGCGTGGAGCATAGGCGATGGTGGGGGAGATGGACAGAGGGGAAGAGGAGGATAGTTTGGAGCGCAGATGGGGCGCCGAGTGTGAACTGAGGAAAGTTATGTCAGGAAGTTCGTCTGTTGTTACTGCATTGATATCGAATAATTGTAATTATTTCAGTGTTGATGCCTGTGGCCAGTGCATCCATAGGGCACGCTGCACAGGAAGCGGTCTATGCATTCAAGAGAAATAACAAATGTTGTTGTTGCAGCATTATTAAGTTGTGTCATAATTATTTCATGTTGCGATCATGGCATGTTATAGGCCACGCTTTAGTTCTTGCCTTGTGATTTGCATGCCCATTGCTCTGTGGGGTATGTGGTAGAGCATGGGCACCCTCCTTCGAGAGGGGTCATCAAAGTTCACGCCGTAACGTGTACCAACAACATTACCCTGCAATGAAAATCAGCCCCGTGGTAATCGCGCGGTGCACAACCCTGAACGAAACAAACGTACGCGCCATTTACCGACAGTGCTCTGGAATTAATCCACGAGAAAATGTGGCCTTGACGCCAAAAGTGGTTGTAGCTGAAGAAGACCGTGGCGTCATCCAACGCAGAAAAATAGATGTGAAAAGTTGGTCGACCATCGTTCGAATGCTCGCCATGGGTCGCAGGCCGTCTTTTTGCCGCCGTCTTCTTAGATCTGTCTCGCGCGTCCTCGTCTGGGAGCCTCGCTTGCCTTCGTAAATCTGTGCGCACATCCGTGGAACGGAGGTCGACAGTCGAAAAGGAATTTATGATTTTCGTCCAATTCTTTATTGCAGTGTCCGAGCGGCTGCAGTGTGATTTCTTTGAAAATGTTGGGAAAATAGGACCGTGTTAGGAACACAAATATCCATGGAGTGCGAAGAGGGCCATGGTTTAAGGCCACGGATGGATTTAAAAGACGGTGTCATGGAGGCCTTGGGAAAGACAGGACAGGGTGGTGAGGACAGAAATAGAAAGCATGGAGAAACATTGTCTGTGACCTGACCCTGGGAGTAGCGCCTGGACACAGTGACCAACAAATTACGATGATTTAGTTAATGGGATGCCACATCCAGAAAATGGAATGCTGTGACTGTGGCTCAGAGTGCTGCGGTGAGCAGAGGTGTCATTTGGTGTAATTAAGAGGAAGTTGTGTGTGGTCAGGACAGCCTTGGGAACACAGATCCCAGGCTGGCTCGCATGGTGTGTGTGTGCGTGTCCTTGTGTATGTGTTGTGGGGGGCGGGAGTGTAGTGGTTAGCGCACCCGGCCCCCGGAGTTCAGTTTCTGCTTCTGACCAATAACAAGTGGGGAATATGATTTAAAGCTTTCGTGACTGTAGGGATTCATATTCTTGGTTCTTTCGGTAAAGTCACGTAGAAGGGAAACAATAAAATAATAAAAAATATATAACAATAAAATTACCACGACGTTTCGACTGCAATTTTCTTGCTGTGGTTTTCACACCTGATGATGATTGCTTGTGTTGCAGTCGAAACGTCGTGAGAATTTTATTGTTTTATATTTTTATTATTTCATTGTTTCCCTTGTACGTGGCTTTACCGAAAGAACCAAGAATATAAGTGGGGAATATTTGAAACATCGCCACTGAGGAGACAAAGGCGGCCGGGCATGGTGCTGGCCACCCACCCCCAACAGGCGATTAAGGCTATAGGGGGGTCTTTGCCTTTGTACGTATGGGTGCGAACATGCATGCGCACGCGATGTCACATTGATGATGTAAACCTGACACACCGGTGCCATGTGAGTGCTATGTGAATGCCATGTGAATGCCCATGTGGGCTTTTGGTGACTTTATGAATGGAGGACGATGTTCCCACCCAAGTCGGGGCAGCGGACAGCTGCGAGCCAGGTCTGCAGGGCCCTCTGTGGTGAACGGGGAAATCCGTTCAGAAGTTAATTTGTACACAGTTGACGTGCGGCAGTATATATTTATGTATATATATACTGTATAAAGCAATAGGGAAGCAATGAGCCCGGTTTGACTGCAGAAAGTGCCGCCATTCCTCAGCTGAAGCAAGGGAAGCCTTGACATCTGTTCTCACAAAATATTTTTGTATTAATGACGAAGCACAAGGACATGTTTCAGCATTTTTGTGAGCCTGGCCAATTCGCTTTTTGAAGCAGCATTTAGCGTGTGCGAGAATAAATCTGAGTACTGCACGGGAGCAGGTCGGCTGTTGTGAACCGTGAGCACGGCCATGTGACGGTGGTGATGGGGGACTTCTCGGCATGCGAGGGGACGCCACTCAAAAGGCCCGGCCCAGCAGCAGTTGCCACTTTGGCCACGACCCCTTGACGAGCAAGGTATATATATGATTGATGTACGTTGCTCTTCTTTCGCACCGTGCTACTCGGAGGTGCGGGGGAAGGACAGCAAACGAAACAACCACTCGTCTAGCTGATCACGTCATTCGGTGAGAAGAACAAAGCTCAAAGTGTCGTTTCTGTCGGTGGTTTCTGTTTCTTCTGCGAGTGCGCGAGCCGACGATGTGAAACGCGATTTGTCTTGTGGGTTAGTGGATGATGAAGGTTTAGATATTGTAGAGGGGATAATTACATAAAGTGGTGTGTGTGTGCGCGCGCGTTTTATTATATAACAAATTATTAGGGCAGCCAAGTGGCTCCCTCGTCCCGTAGTTGACTTTGCCTCTGTTGAGAGAATACAGGCGGGCAAGAGGTGGAGGTAACTTGCGTGGGTTTCTAGAGGAATGCCTGCACAGGGTGCTGGCAACAACCGCGAAGGTTACGCTCCCAACCTCGGCGGAGTTTCCGTCTTGTCACGCAAACAAAACGCGGCGTTAAACAGCCGCGCGGGGCTGTTTGAGCTGCCGTTTGCGTAGCTGAACTGGAGGCAGAAAATTTAAATTGTGTCGAAGATTTTTGGGGGGGTTTTTTTTTTTCCTAATTCCGCTGGGCATCGAGGTAGAGGCGGGTGTGAGGGTCTCGGCGTGGGCTTTGTTCGAGAGAGGTTTATGCGTCGTGCGTGCGTGCACGCTCAAGACAACAGTCGATGTACGGTGACCATTGTCCCTCCGTTGTCGTCGTCATCGTCATCATCGCCGTTGTCCTCATCATCATCATCGCACTCATCTTGGTCTCTGAGTGGCGTCCGCAGGTGAGGATTCCGAGTTATCTCCTTCAAATGTTCGAACGTCTCTCGTATATAAACCTTCACACCCCAGGCTCAATTGAGCGATCGGTGTTTGCTCATCTCCATCACTGGTGATGAGACAGTGGTGGGAATTCAGTATTCTTCTGACAAGAACCAGTCTGTCCACATGGCAACCACTCATTGATTTCCCACAAAGGGGTACTTAATTTATTCACTGCGGACGGATGATGATGATGATGGGTTGAGTCGATCATGGACTCGGCTTTGAACTCCTTGACCTTCCGCTCGTAAGTTGGGCATTCAGCCCTTGTGCCACCTGACCAGAGTGGTGTTCAGCCACTCAAAGGTCCTTTACAACAACAACTAAAAATGGGAATCTTAAAAGCCGCGGGGGCACTTTTTTAAAGGCGCGATTATTTATTTATTTAATCAAGTTGCTGGCGACCCCAAAGCGGAGCTTTCTCGCTCGATCACTCACCCCCCGCCTGTGCCTTCTCCGTGGCAGCGATTCATTTTTGTTTTCCCGTCAACTCCCGAGAGCTCCGTGCGGGTCCAGCCAGCGGATTTGTTCCGCTGTTCCCAATTATCCTCATTGTTCCGCTGTTATACCATCTCTCTTTATTGTTCTGCTGTTATACGAGCGCTCTTTATTGTTCCACTGTTCCCAGTGCTCTTCATTGTTCCACTGTTCCCAGTGCTCTTCATTGTACCACTGTTCCCAGTGCTTTTATTGTTCCACTGTTCCCAGTGCTCTTTATTGTTCCGCTGTTCCCAGTGCTCTGTATTGTTCCACTGTTCCCAGTGCTCTTCATTGTACCACTGTTCCCAGTGCTCTTCATTGTTCCACTGTTATACCAGCGCTCTTCATTGTTCCACTGTTCCCAGTGCTCTTCATTGTTCCGCTGTTCCCAGCGCTCTTCATTGTTCCACTGTTATACCAGCGCTCTTCATTGTTCCACTGTTCCCAGTGCTCTTTATTGTTCCACTGTTCCCAGTGCTCTTCATTGTTCCACTGTTCCCAGTGCTCTTCATTGTTCCACTGTTCCCAGTGCTCTTTATTGGTCCACTGTTCCCACTGCTCTTCATTGTACCACTGTTCCCAGTGCTCTTTATTGTTCCACTGTTATACCAGCGCTCTTCATTGTTCTGCTGTTCCCAGCGCTCTTCATTGTACCACTGTTCCCAGTTCTCTTCATTGTTCCACTGTTATACCAGCGCTCTTCATTGTTCCGCTGTTCCCAGTGCTCTTCATTGTTCCACTGTTCCCAGCGCTCTTTATTTTTCCACTGTTATACCAGCGCTCTTCATTGTTCCGCTGTTCCCAGCGCTCTTCATTGTTCCGCTGTTCCCAGCGCTCTTCATTGTTCCGCTGTTCCCAGCGCTCTTCATTGTTCCGCTGTTCCCAGTGCTCTTTATTGTTCCACTGTTCCACTGTTATACCAGCGCTCTTCATTGTTCCACTGTTATACCAGCGCTCTTCATTGTTCCGCTGTTCCCAGCGCTCTTCATTGTAAGACCCACGGGCCACTGGCGGGCCCCTGGTGTCAAACCCGATGGTTTCAAACGTGTGGCGGCCCTCGCACTGACGATGTCTTATCGGCGAAAGTGGCCCCCTCTCCTCTGAAGAACACGGCTCTGTCCGATACTCGTGTCGACGGCGTTCCTGTACCGCCTGCCCGTGCCACTCGGCCGGCGAGCCCCAGTCCCAGGTGTCGCCTCGTCCCGGGTTGCGCTGTTTGCCGGCGGGGTTGTTTTGTGTGCGGGGCCGCGCCGAGTCCAAAGGTGCGCGGCAGCGCTGAGCGCGACCGCTTTGCTTTTTATTTGTTTGCGTTTCTCTGGGAATTTCAAACTTCGGTTGTGTGTGTGTACAGTACGCCTTTTACACTCTTCACAGGTTCCATAGAACATTTTTTTAATGACTGTAATTAACGCAGGATTATTCATGGATTAAGGAAACAGCCTCCTATGTTTTATTTTGATGGAAAGTGCAACGTATGGGGGGTTGGTCGTTATTTCATGGTGAAATATATATTTTAATACATTTGTATGTATCCCTGATCACCGGGGAAATGTGTGCATCGGTTATGCGTCCATCGTGTTCTCGCTACTGGCCACATGTGCTTTGTACCGGGGTGGTCCAGATGTATTGTGACCCCATTCAATTCTCTTAAACGTAAATGTTTTCGTATACCGATTGGTGTGAAAACAGAAATGAACAAACAAAGGAGACAAATGTTACAGCTCAATTAATTGTGGGTCACGAGACATCTGGAACACCATCCTGACCAATGCACACCCGTGTGCTGCTGTGTGCGATACATATTCACGTAACGTTATTCTCGTTAATGCATCCGTGTAAAGTCCGCATGTTTACAAATGTGGTGTCCACAATTTGTGCACTCGTGTCTCGACATTTGCTGCTCGTGTACTGTTGTGTATGAAGGCCGCTTGTGTTGTGGCCGAAACGTCGTGAGAATATTATTGTGTTATTTTATTTTATCAATTTATTATTTTATTCTCATTCTACGTGACTTTACCGAAAGAACCAAAGAAGATGAATCATTGCAGTCACGAAAGCTTTAAATCGAAATGTTGTGTATGCTGTTGTGTAAACTGTTGTGTAAACTGTTGTGTATGCTGTTGTGTACACGCTGTGACTGTATTTTGTCCACTTTGCGTTTATCTGACGTGTTTATGCACTGTGACCCAAAATTCAAAACACATGGGATTGTTATATTTATTTATTTTAACACATTACATAGGGTTATTTAATATGTTCTAATAAATCGTCATACGGACTTCCAATAACAGTAATGCACACATGAATTATCTTTTGAAATTAATTCAGGATTATTTTTGTTGTTAAGGTGACAGCTGTGTAATCTGTGTACATCATCATCCCATATGTTTTGTTGTCTCATATTTGAGGTGACCCCCACAGGAAGAAGAAGAAACGTAGATATCAATAATGATAATCGATAAAACATTAACTTTAATACTAAACAGTTATAATGTTTTAATGCCAGTGTTAAAGCAAACGTACGTATTGTTTTACTTCTTTCGCACTGCACGTGTTCAACCGCGCTAATCGGAGGTGGGCAGGAAGCACAAGAAACTAAACACAAAAAGCACTCGTAGATAAATTAGTTTTCAAACTAGAAAATAAATAACCCCATGTGCCCTGACTTTTGGACCACCCTGTATGTACAAAGGGCTCTACTTAAATGTTTATATACACACGTGCCCTTACGTGTTCACGCACACTTGCCGTTGTATCGTGCGACAGACTAACAAGGTCGATTTATACAGCGGTGTCTGAATCGCGACCGCATCTCAAGACGCCGTCCCGAACCAGCGGGCACGTAGACGTTATTGGGAGAGGGAGTCGGACATGGGCAGAGGACGAGAGGGAGGTGTCGAGTCTGGACTTGAACGGGGTTAGAGGGAGGAGTGGTAAACCGGGCTGTGCTGTGGATGAGCGAGACCAGCGGTTAGCGTCCTACCTGACCATTACAGGTGATTGTCCTATGGACGGAAGCAGGGAGTGGATGGCACGGGTGCCTGGGGGAAGGGAGTTCCAGAACATGGTGTGTACAGAAATGTATTGTTGAATCTATCCGTGCAATCCTTTGAGTGTTTATGCTCTAGTACGCGAGGGTTTTCTTGCACTCAGGATTTCTCCCACAAGCAAGGCACTCATTCATTCACGAAATTGGCCAAACCTCCCAGGCCTGACTCTTGCTGAATTCAGATTGGGGGGAGGAGTAGTAGAGCTGTTGTAATGGGAGGCCACAATAACAGTGACACATCGCTAAGCAGAGCGAAATCGCGAGGGCTAAACGGACCTTTGGTGCAGGAACCCCCCCCTCCCCCCCCTTAGCACTCCCCCCCCCCCCCCCCTTGCACAGGCCTGCCTGAGACTCCAGAGGGAGCCTGTGCATCACAATGTCCGTGCGCGCATGCGGCCCCTTCCCTCCCCTAGCGAACACCATCAAGGTGGAGGCGCCGAGCGATGACGAGGAGCTGGAGCCGAGCGCCGGCATGGCGGCGCCCGGCTCGCGACACGGGGGAGACGCGCGGTGGAGCGGCGCGCGGGAAGCAGCGGGAGGGGAGCACGGAGCCCTCGACGGAATCGGTGGCGGTGAAACACCGGGGAGCGGCAAGTTGGCGTGCGACATCTGCGGGCTGGTGTGCGTGGGGCCGAACGTGCTGCTGGTGCACAAGCGCAGCCACACGGGTGAGTGAGTGCGTGAGTGGGAGTGAGTCGTGATTGAGTGGGAGTGAGTGGTGAGTGCAAACGAGTGAGCGATTGAGTGGTGAGTGAATGAGTGTGTGCGTGTGTGCATGCGAGCGAGTGGTGGGTGAGTGAGCGAGTGGTGAGTGATTGAGCGAGTTGTGTGTGTACATGCGAGCGAGTGGGGAGTGAGTGAGCGAGTCATGAGCGCGAGCGAGCGAGTGGTGAGTGAATGAGCGTGTGGTGAGTGCGAGCGAGCCGATTCCCGTGATAATAATAATGGGGCTGTGGCGTGGCCCAGCCGTAGCGCATTCCCCCGCTTGTTTGCAGAGGTTCGCGGTTATAATTTGGCAAGCCACCCCGGTGAATACTGCGGTGGGTGTATTCATCGTAAATATGCGCAGTCTGCTTCACAGTGGGCGTTAATGATCCCGTGACGTCGTCGTTCGAAATGAATCCACCATTGTTTGCCAGTTACTCAATTGGGATCACACGGCAATCATTGCCGCCCGACTGGCAGGCGAATGCCAACTTCCAGGCCAAGTGCTGAGTCGCCTTGTGTCGCCGCACACCTGCCCGAGGGTGCCATGGAATATTTGAGATGAGTTGTGATGTGAGGCGCTTTGAGCTGCCGAGGAATGTAAGCAGCTCCATATGAATACAAAAAATATTCTTAATGTGAACAGTGACGTTGAATCTGATCGTGATGTTGATTGTGAAGCTGATTGTCATCGCCCCGTAGGAATCAACGTCACAGTCAGCATCGCAATCTGACATCGTCGTTAGAAGCAACGTTACCTTTATTTTCGGAATTGTCATTGTAAGATCGATGAGTATAAGAGTCGGTATCATTGTCATGATAATCATCATCAGATTAATTGTGAGTCATCATCAATATCAGAATCATCATTGACGTCAGTAAAAAGTATTAGAATGCCCAGGTCATCATTGCTTTTCATAGCAGGGTGCTTGGGAGAGTGCAGCGCCACCTAGTGTATGGATAAGAGAGATAATTTTTATTTAAAGCTTTCGTGACTGCAGGGATTCATATTCTTGGTCCTTTCGGTAAAGTCACGTAGAAGGGAAACAATATTTTTTATAATTTTATTGTTTCCCTTCTACGTGACTTTACCGAAAGAACCAAAAATAAGAGAGATAATGTTTAAAGATCTCATAAGTCATATCCCACTAGGGTGCAACGTTTAGATTTCTCTCTCGAAAAAAACAATAAATATTAATCATCCTTTTATGTACAATCGCAACATGCCCATTATCTCCCTTGGTCTGGAGTGTCTTCGGTGGTGAAAAATGCTCATTGTTCCATAGGAAGGGTGTTGGTGGTAATAATTGGCTGCTGGTTGTGATAATGATTATCATCATTAGCACAGTTGGCTACGTATGGTGCGAAAGAAGTTCAACATACATACATGATAGGAATTGGATGATAAAATGCTGATTGATCCATAATACAGTTTTTTTGGGTTAGATCGCATAAATATTTTAATTTGTCGTTAAACCCGCCACCACCGACACAGCCAATTAGTAAAGTTTGTCAAGTCAACAGCACACGCCAATTCGTTAGTAGTACAGCACACATGTAGTATGGGTGATATCACTCACGAAAGCCTACTTGTTAAACTGATGCTGATGGATATTTGGTAACGATTATTACGAAGACGTCGATAGTCACTGGATAATGATGAAAGGTCATTGGATCATGATTATTATAATGACGATACCGGGCATCGGTAGATGTTTGGATGATGACGACGATGGTGGAATGTCTGTGACTCACTGCTACCGCCGCCTTGTTTTATGCCACGCAGGCGAGCGCCCGTTCCAGTGCGGGCAGTGCGGCGCGTCGTTCACGCAGAAGGGGAACCTGCTGCGCCACGTGAAGCTGCACTCGGGGGAGAAGCCGTTCAAGTGCCACATGTGCAACTACGCGTGCCGCCGTCGCGACGCGCTCGCCGGCCATCTCAAGACTCACGCGAGTGCGTCGCCCGCCCGCCCGCCCGCACGGGCTCACACGGTCACGCTCGGCTCGGTTCCTCTGGAGAACGGTGGTCTCGATGAGGCCCGAGAGTTTGCGTGCGTCCGGGACGCTTCCCGGCGTGCCACCACGCCGCTCGCCGGTGTAGCTCGGCTGCAGCGACCTGCCGTTGTTGCCGGTGGTCGGTGCGGCGAAGTCGGTCCTTGTGACGTTCTCACCTCCCCTGCAGGACATCTGTGAAAAAGAGCTTTCTAGCTCGTCTGATTCCTCCAGCATAAATAAATATTCTGATTATGATTCTATCGTGCTGTATTAGGTTTCAGGAGTCTTTGCTCCTCGCGTTCAGCAACCCGCACTGGCTAGCGTGGGTCCACTCCGATCGATTGACCTCCACGACCTGTGTGGCCGGTTTAAGGCCCTCATCGAGGAGTGGATCGCACCTCCGATTAGCGCGGTTGGCTACGTACGGTGCGAAAGAAGTTCAATGTACGTACGGCAGCGAGACGTGCGGCTGAGTTTTGTTGTCATCTCTGCCCGCAGTCGGGAAGCCCCACAAGTGTGCCTACTGCGGGCGCAGCTACAAGCAGCGCAGCTCCCTGGAGGAGCACAAGGAGCGCTGCCACGCGTACCTGCAGCACGCGGCGGTCAACGGCCCGCATGCCGCACCACCAGGTGCCGCCCCCCACCCTCGCTCGCTCGCACCCACACGCGTCCACCCACCCACCCTCGCTCGCTCGCTCGCACCCACACGCGTCCACCCACCCACCCTCGCTCGCTCGCACCCACACGCGTCCACCCACCCACCCTCGCTCGCTCGCTCGCACCCACACGCGTCCACCCACCCACCCTCGCTCGCTCGCACCCACACGCGTCCACCCACCCACCCTCGCTCGCTCGCTCGCACCCACACGCGTCCACCCACCCACCCCACCCACCCTCGCTCACACTCGCACGCACGGATGGCTACATACAGAGTGAAAGAAGTTCTACATACATACACACCCCGTTCCCGCAAACTCACTCACACCCACAAAGGTCCGCCCCCCTCCTCTGCCGCGGGGCGAGGAGAGGAGGAGCGGTGTCGGCAGGAAGGAGGGCGCGTTCATCCGCGCACTGACCGACGGCGGAAGTTCTGTTGGGGCAACGTGTGGTCTGGGAGCGTGGTCTGAGCGTGGACCGAGTTGTGGGAAACGTGTGTGGCCCGGCCAAGGCGCTGGTTGCCGCTTGAGTGTGGCCGTTGGCGAGGTGTGGGGTGGCATTAACGGTTTTGGCCATCGTCAAGTCTCAATCTCGATGGCAGTGGCAGTGAGACGTTCACCATCTGCGGTTTAGTACTGTGACTGAGTACGTAGCAATTAGGTATTGAAGAAAATCTTCATTACCTCATGAATTAATTAAGCAATTCCTCATGACATAAGAGTTACCTCTAGATGCATTTTGTTGTGAGGACACCCAAGGCACTTCCTGGGTAGGATGAGGTCCGTGGTGTTGAACTCTGTGAAAGTTTTTTCTACATTCCTCATACCTTGATACTTGAAATTACGGCATCCAGACAATTTTTATTGTTGTTGCAAAACACCATATGTAACGCGATGTGTACTGCAGAATTAAACACACACTTGGCAAGGCAAAGTGTTCTAGATGTGATCGGCAAGCGGAGGGGGTAGTGATGGTTGGCACACGTAGTGTGAGGGTGGAGGAGGGCAGGTCACTGAGACGGGCATTGGAGTGGGGACCGAGGGGACGACCTAGAGTCAGACGATGGTGATGAGGCTGTAAGAGCGATCCTCGAACGATGCATCAACTAAAACTATATGGAAGATCTAAACTATAAAATAAACTTTTTATTTTACCAGGTAAGACCCACTGAGCTATAAAGCTGTTGTTCAGAAGCGATCTGGCCACAAATGAATGCTCAACGAAGTGGCTTTTTGTAGTGGAAATTTACAGCAGCCAAATACTCTAAACGCATGTTGTTGATTCTAAATGTGGAGGGAAAATCCCAAGGACCTGCAGAAAAATCCACGTGACCACGGGGAGAGAGACACACAAACTCCAAATATACAGCAGGCGTCAGAGTCGGCATCGAACCCACAAACTCCTGTATACCAGGCGAGGTAGTTAACATCTTGCCACCACGGTGCCAACGCCAGATGGTAGTGGTCATGACCCTGGAGGACAAGTCTTAGAGGTTGGCTGTAACAACTGCGTGATCTAGCAGACGGAAGCTATCGCTCTGGGTGTGGTGGCATCAGCAGCACTGGGCATGATGACCTATTTACCTTGGCCATTCATTGTTAGAATAGTGTCAGAATGAGACTATTCACAAAAGCACCTTGACAGGGGCTGTGTTCGTTGCCATGACTCACAGTGGCCGATGGGGCCATGAGAAGAGGAATCTGGGCCTCGTGAGTGCCACTTTGGACGTGGTCTCCACCAGTCGGATCGGCCCTAGGCAGTTTCAGCGCAACAATAATAACAATGAATGATTTAGTTCATTTGGTAATTATCACACCATTGTTACAGTGCAAGGCTATCATGAAGGCGCTACTTTTCACAGACATTGTTTACGATAGTTACAGTAGAAAGCGACGATGCTGCTACGTGTTACCCCGGTGTAACTTTTCTCATTTGGAAAATTTGGACCGTGACGCCGGCACACAATGACCTTCCACTTGTTCCGAATGACGTCAGGAGATCTTTAACGTACACTGTTAAGGAGACGGCGCACGTCATACTTTAGCTTAATACACCCACCGCACTATTAACCAGGGCGGCTGCTGGATTCGAACCGTGAGCCTCTGTAACAAGCGGTGAAGGCGCTACCGCCGGGCCCGTTCACCGCCCTGGTGGACCAGATTTTTAGAAACGGCAACACGCAAGGTGCTGTGCTCAAAAACAGCAGGAAGGCACAACTCACATGATGCCGTGCATGCATACCATGTGACCACCACACTGCATGTCCAATGCTGTCAGCCTTGTCTCGGGACCACCTGCTGAAAAAAGAGCTGAACGTGTGGCCATATTTGTTTCCAGCCAGTGCGTGTTTTGTCCTGTTTCACGTCTGCCGTCCTGTTTCTGATGGTTTTATAATCACTGAATTCGCTGTGACCGCGTCACTTGCAGAGCTCGCGACGCTGGAGCCCAAAGTTGGGATGCCACAATCTCACTCGCCGTGACACTCACAGGGTCACGTGTCCGCGGTAGCGGTGTGTGAAAGGGCGGGGGTGGGAGGTGGGGAGTTTTTATGCTTGTCAGGTATTCAGAGATGTCAGCCCAGATTAATGACGAAATGCATTCTGCGCATGCTTCCTTAAGGCACAGGAGGTTATTTTGCCGTTTGTGCGCGCGTGTTCGTGTGTTGTGCTCAAAACAGGGTAAGCAATAGCGTGGGTCCGCACGTCGCACTACGGAGCCAGTAGCTTGTGTTTCCGGTTGAGTTGAGGAGCACCAGGTCATTCTGCAAATGAGACCCATTCGGGTCTCTTGATTTCTCACCTTGTTAAAAAAAAAACCTTGACTTGATTTCAGGTCCTGGCCTCGGCTAACGTCGGTGGCGAGTGGCGTCAAAACTTGCCTCGGGCATGTTTTAGGTTGACTGAGCCTTAAACGAGGAGTGAGTGCAATGTGTGAATATCAGTGGCGGTGGAGTCACAGGTCTCACACACATGCCGGCCTTAAATGGGTGCTCGCAGCTCTCGCCCCAAGTCTGAGTGGCTGCCGAGGGGGGTGTTTGATCTTTGTCTGGTAGAATGGGAAGGAAATCATTCACCCGGGTCTGTTGACTCACAACACTTTTGTCTGTCCTGAGACATCCTATCAGTGAGCTTTAGCCACGCTATGTCAACTCAAAGTACACCTAGCCTGGCACAGGGATATTATGACATCACGACAGTGCCTGGCAGCTGGCATCTGTTTGTTATCATAAAAGTCCTCGGCAATGTGAAGCTAAACGTCGGACATTGTTCTGAACAAAAACACGTGGTGCAACCTGACCACACAGCGGAGAGCTGTTAAAGCCCTGATATTAATTTGGTGCATCTTTACACACGCACGTACACCCTTATACCTGGTTCTCTTGGTAAGCCGATGCTCTGGTGGTGGTGGTGGCACGATGTTTTCCGGCTCATTCTGCCAGAGCCGGTTGAGTTTTTTGTAACACACACGTGGCCACATTCCCATGCGCGTAGCCGCTTCCCCCAGGCGATCCCATCACCTCGGTGTAAAAAAAACGACTTCAAAGTTCCTGCAGGGTGACCCTGAATTTCCAAGAAGTGAGGCCGCTGTGGGCCGTCGATTGAACTCTTGTCCAATCACCAGCAGCCACCCAACAGATAGATTATCTCAGCAGCCAAGAGGAAGACAGGTGCGGCACCCCGAGCGGGCATTGGCAGCAGGCAAAGCACGGTGGATGCGGTACATAGCCTTTAAGATACAAGCCCTAGTCTCTGGATTGTATGACTCTGCAAAGTTAGAGGACACCCCAAACTTGTGCCCGGTGTCAACAAAGTTTTACAAATCTGGTCACACACACACCCACAAGCACCTACCGGATCATAAGACGCACCCACAACTTCTGCTTTAAATACCCTGTTGAACACATTGCGTCTTATAATGCAGAGAATGTGGGCTATTAACTTTTCCCCATGACACCACTCTCTCGATGTGGATCATCGTTGTCACCGTGATTCATGATGGGACTTTTGGGTCAGGCCCTGTAACGATCTGAGACCAAATCTCTGCCATTAGGACCCTCCACCACAAGACACAGCCAAACATATTCAATTGTCACGTGGTGTTAAGGCGTTTAACGACGTGCCAATTTTTTTCTCTGGATTATGTGACGCACTTTGTTCCCTTGAATTTTAAAGCAGAAGTTGTGGGTGCGTCTTATGACCCGGTAGGTGCTTGTGGGTGTGCGCGTGACCATATTTGTATAACTTTGTTGAAACCAGGCGCAAGTTTGGGGTACATCTTACTTGCCGGAGCCTCTTATGATTTGGAGAATACAGTTTCTATTTGTTCAAAAGTTTGATTAGCAACGGTCGCGCGGAAACACGTCATGATCATACCAGCAGCTTCACGTTGCCCCTTGGCACTACAAATGCAACCAGGTCCATGTAAACACTTGTGTCGCCGTCCAACCTCAATTCAGCAGCGTCGATAGCGCCAAACCATGGACCTCGGCCGGGTGCCATCATTCAAGCCGCCGCTCGTCCACTTGCGGGCTTTGCGATGAGACACGGGCGTAATCAATCAGTCGGTCAACTTAGCGACCGCCCAATCGATAGTCACCCGGTCACCGCGCACCTTAATTTTACATGGCGCGCAAATTATGGGCGTCACAAGACGAGTGACGTGCGACCGCAAACAACACCGCGATGCGTGACTTTGCGGCGAGGTGAAACACCCGCAGCCGTCCACCACGCGCTCCCTTTGCAGGGGGTTGGGAGCTGTGGGCCTGGAGAGTCGCCCCACCGCTTGAGTCGCCGCCGACGCGTTGTACAATGAACAAGCCCGGGCACGACAGCTTGATGTTGACAAAGGCCACGAGACAGAGCGACACTGACAGCGCCTATGAATAGCTCTCATTAGGTGAACCCTAAATAGAATGCGGCACTATTCTTTCTCCGACCAAATAAATAAAACCAAACTCTGCACCCCACACCGCACACCACAGACAAAATAAAATACAAAACGACAAGAACGGTGGTGGTCTCTACGTCTCACGGTTGTCATGTTGCGGACATTCTCTGTGTTGTGCATCCGTGGTGTTGACTGGGTGAGCTTAACAAAACCCACGGCCGTTGTGTAGAATGACGCCGCCTGTTTGAGTCACGGTCGTCAAACAAATCCACGTTCCACGGCCCCCTTAGGGATCCCGCTTTGCATCCCCTTCAAGGTCTCCCGATTGGCGAGGGAATTCGCGTGGAGCAGAGAATCGCCGCACACGCGCTGGCTCCTGTAGCGCGCGGCGCGTCTACGCACGTGCCGTACGGTGCACGCCTGGCGCAGAGATTTGTAACACTCCCAGAAATCCCCTGCCGGGCTGTGAAGGTAGCCAGGGGACAGCAGCGCGGCGAGTCTGTTCATGGATCCTCGCTTGCGGGCCTGTGGGTGCCGTCCCCTCGCGTCGCTTGGGTTTCCTCTCATGGGCACAGCGGTCCTTAAAACAGGAGTCGGTCAAACGTGTGAGAGCAGGAGCCTCAAAGCACGATCTTGAGACTCAGCAAGGCTTTCCTGGGGGAATTAAACGAATGAGCAAATGAATAAATGCCAGACGGTCGGTGGCTTGCGTGCGGCTCACACGGAACAGGTGCAGAGGGACACGTACCGGGTCATGGTGAGATCACGTGAAACGCGTGATTGTCAATTAGGATTCCGCACCTGTGGTCGCTTGAGGATTATTCTTCCATTATTTTATTTTCATAATCGTTTGCTCTTGCAGTTTTAAAAAAAGTATTTGTGAGTAATTGGTACGTATCATACGTGTATGGTTTAACCAAAAGTTTTTTCAACTTTTAGGTAATTCAGCAAATGTCTGTTAGTGTTTATTTTATTAGATTAGCATATCATAGATTTGGTTTCATGCGTTTTGCTCATGCTGAGTGTTTGCTTGTCTTGTGCAGCACTTTGGGACTCTTGATGAAAGGCGCTCTATGAATAGAAAGATGATTGTGTTAATCTGTACCGGACGTGTCACATTGATTGGCAGCAATAGAAACACAACAGTTAAACGGGAATCCTTTGCCTCACTGGCGCAGGTATCACCAATCCAGCCTCGCGATGTGTTTTAATTTGTCTCTCTTTGTCAACCGGATTGGCAAAGGGCAGCAAATTAAAATCAAACTAAGCTTGAAGAAACGCCTGAAATAAGAGTGGGGGTGTTCCCGGTGTGGTTCACGAATGTGGCCACAAGCAGCACAAATGCCCACCAGGGGCCCCCCGGGCCGTTGGCTCGACACCTTTTGGGAATCCGGTCGTTGTATCTCGCGCATTTAAAACCCCCGGGGTCGAACCCAGGCCTCGGCAGTGGCAGCGCCTCTGACGCGGCGTCATCCCCTGTGGGCCACGGTGGCCGTTCCCCTTGGGATTGCGTCGCGGCTGACGAGTGGATTCTGTGTGCCGCTCTCACGCCGGGGGCCTTTCCCAGACGCCGAGAGCCGCCCTGCGCAAGAAGGACGCGGAGCCGAGTCGGAGCAGGAGCTGGAGCGTGGCGGCGCCGCGCCTGCAGACCGCACTCCCGCCTCCAACCTGGGCAAGCGCAAAAGCTTCACGCCGCAAAAATTCATCGGTGAGCGGCGGACGAGCGTGGCGCTCGGCAACGTGGCGTGGTGTGACGTGGCGTGGCACAGTGTGACACTCAGCGGGGTGGTGTGGCGTGATTTGACCTGGGATGTAGTAAAGGGGAAATCTTTTTCGGGTTGTCCCCTTCTATTTGTGGGTGATCTCTGGGCATACCCGGATGTGCCGATTCAGACATTTATGGATAAATAAAGATGTTAAGCAGCATATAAGATTCATAGAGAATAAAATAATAATAATTCACAGCCCTTTGACCATGCTGGTCAGTGCTGGTTGGTGACGTGGAGGTCTTTGGACCGTAGAGCAAGATGCGCATTTGGCCGTGGCACGCGATGGATATAGTGGGGGACGCGGAGAGGGCGCGACACCAGGCCCCGTCTAACATGCGGCGTCACGTACGAGGTGCCGCCGTGACCTCCCGGTGACCTCCCCGCCCCTGCCGAGCCCCCATTACCCGTGCGGTCGCCGTCTCCTGCCGCTGGCCATCAAACGTCCTTCATCTCGCATTTTTATCGCGCGGTTTTTCCAAACGGGCATTGTTGCCGTCCCTTGGGCGGACGGGTTAACGGCCAAATCAGCGCCGTTACCGTGCCGTTTGACACCGCGGCACGGCTTCTAATGCGCGCTTCCCATTGGATCGCACCGCTCGTGCATGGAAGGCAGAGCAAATCCCGTTACTTTGGAATTTGTAAGTGCGTTTTTTTGGCACTTGCGTAATGTCTGGAGTGTATAAAGCTGCCCTCGGAACGTAGTCATCATTTCGGCCTAAGGTGTCATTATATCCACTTAAATGTAGAAATTGCCGGGGACCCTGATCCCTAACGGCGCTCCCAAAGCTGCCATTCCCACCGTCTGCACACAGATTACGCCAGTCTGTGCCACAAACAGATGTGCAATATATAATTAAAAGAGCAAGAGACCAAAAAACATCATCACGTTACTTTATTACTATGGAGAGAGAAGCATTATAATTCGTGGCCTAATATTTGTATTTTAATTTGTTTTGCTTTAGATGAATTTAGTTTAAATAGTACAATTTACATCATCACTACCGTGTGCTCATTATTTTACCATTACTGAATGCAAATATAATCCCGGGGGCTGCGTTGTTAGCATCGGAGAAACGCGTTGTGCAAACTCTTGCCGCTATCACCGTCAGAAAAAATACAATCTCCTTTGCCCTAATGTTAGCATATTTTTAAAAAATATTTTTCATTGCAAGGTGGTGTTCGGTTTATTCTAAGCGTTTTATAAAACCTACGATACATGGATGAAAATATGGACGGTGCCAAAGACAAATCTGAAGAGTGCACAAACAAGCATGGAGAGCTGCGTGCTTGAAATTACACCGAAGGACAGAGGGGAACATGAATTGTAGAATAATTACCGTTGCGTGGCGTTGGGCAGATCACATTGCTAGATGGGACGATGGCTGGTGGTCGAAACTAACAATGAGAGTGGAAGCCAAGGGCGGATGGATTGTGGCCTATGGCGATGATTTTATAAAACATCGGTTCGCCGCTAAAAGTGAGCGAGAGCTACAACGACAGCGGGCGGCGGCGCTTTGACGTCGCGCCTGACGCCGTGTCGCCCCTCGCCCCGTGTGTCGTCCCACCGTCCCGCAGTCGAAAAGCACTGGCGGTCGAGCGGCGGCCCCGACGTGCGCATCCCTGCCCCGCAGCCGTTCCCCAAGGAACAGGAGCTGGTGCCGCCGCTGATCATGTCCTACCTGGGCGCGAGCGGACTGGCGGGCGACCTGTCGCACGGCCCCTACGCCGGCATGATGTGCCAGCCGTACGGCCTGCCGTTACCGCTCCCTCCACGGTCCAACACTCCGATCAACCGCGGCGGCGCTGTCGACGGACACGGCGGCATCGCCGAGGGGCTGTGCTTCCCAACAAAATCTTCGAGCCGCGCGGCCGCGGCGGCCGCCGCCGCCGCGGCCGCGTCGGCGGCGGCCGCTGACGCGTCCTCGCCTGACAACGGCGAAAACAACAACAACAACAACAGCGGCGGGGCCTTCAACAACAACAACAACAACAGCGGGCAGGAGTCGACGGACGAGGACGGCAGCCTGGCAGGTGACAGGAACGGCGTGCAGGAGATGAAGGACGAGGAGGAGGGGGCCAAGCAGCAGCGCAGGCCCCAGCGGCGGCGCGACCGCGACGTGTTCCGCGTGTTCCGCCCGGACGGCACGTCGGTGCGCAGCTACCGCTGCACGCACTGCGAGGTGCTGTTCCTCGACCACGTCATGTACACCATCCACATGGGCTGCCACGGCTACCGCGAGCCGCTCGAGTGCAACGTGTGCGGACACCTGAGCCGCGACCGCTACGAGTTCTCGTCGCACATCGTGCGTGGGGAGCACTCGCGCTCGCTCGACTGACGGCGACGAAGACGGCGTGAGGGAGGAGGAGGTCGTTGGTGTTGTTGTCGTCTTTTTATGTTGGTGAAGGAGTTTGTTAGGGACTGGCAAGATGAGGTGGCGAGTGGATGGACCGTGTGCAGGCCTGTTGGCGAGTAGAATTTGAGGCAAGAAGTTTCCTTTTTACTGGAATGAAAAAAAAAATCCTGGTAGATTGTAATATTCAGGTAACTGTTTTATGTTGTTGCAGATTGCTTAAATCAACGCAATGTCTCTGGTGGGTTTTTTACGTTTTAATCGTTGTATGGTACTTTCATATCATTGGCCTGAGAGGCTTTTGTCGGGACTATCCGTGCTCTTGCCTGTGGTGGTGCACAGGCGTCATAGCTCGTTTCTGGAAAAGCGAGTGACCAACTTGGGTGCGCGCGTGCTGACAATCTCAAAAAGCACAATCCGTCCGCGCCCGTTGCGTTGCACAATTGCCGTTGGCAGTTGTTGACCATGAAGGTACGTCGACCAAAACAAAAGTTGATTATTCTTTATTTTAGGAATGCATTTTCCATTTGTAAGAGAAAATAATATATACTGATTTGATTGCTACTGTTCTTAGACGTTAATGTGACGTCGTTCACCACTGTTTTTGTGTTGTGATATCGGTTAGGAGTTGCTGATGCTGCAGGTGAGGATGCAGTGCGAGCTAAATGGTAATGGATATTTGAAAAAATCATGCCAAAAAAGTCTAACGCCTATGGGATTGGGTTCACGTTAAATAAGTTTGTTAGACCGAATTAGTTACATTTGACTCAATTAGCGCTACTCAAAAAATCCTGTATATTCAGCTCCTTAAAATGATCAATTTACACTTATTGGATCCCTCTTCTGGTATCTCACAAAATGGTTTCTTGCGTCCGTACGTATCTTAGGTGTTACTGCAAGTCGTATTTTCCCTCCAAAAGTTGACAATCACAAAACCCTTATGGTGCTTCTGCGGTAACCGTAGAATGAGCAACATTTAAAGAAAAATGCTGTTATCACAATAGTTGCACACAACCCTTCAGAATAATAACTGGTACAAAAGTGTATTACCTATCAGTAGGCTTATAATTATCGTTGTTATTTTCTTCTTCTGTTAAGCTGGGATATCAAATTATTTTAGAAATCGATTACTCTCCCCATTTTGGTTTTATAACTTCGGCTCATGGGGAAACAAGTATCCACGTGTACCTCTGGACGGGAGGTGATTGGCGGGGCATGGCGAAGGCCTCATGGCCATCAACCGCGTCACGCTGGCCGTGGCTTTTAGGGGGATTCGTGCCTTTGGAAGGCAGGATTTCGGGACTGGCTGACCTTTGTAAAAGGGCCTCTGTAATCGACCACAAAAGAGAATCTGATTACAATTTTTTTTTTATCGATAAATCCGCTCGTCCCAGCTTAAATTTTTTGCACGCGTTTCCTTCCACATTCTCCTGCCTGATTGCGTAGTCGGTGGACTCTGCCAGCATTTGGGCCAAACTTAGAGGGCTTTTCTCAACCAAACCTGACTTGGACCTTGAGGATGATCACCTGGTAATCAAGTACTGTAGTTTTTAGTGCCAGAATTTTGTCTACCTGTTGAGCACCTTTTATACTGTTAAGGCCTTCCTCCCTCGGGCCTCCTTTGGCCTCTGTGTAAGAGAGGTCCTCAGACGGACTTTGTGTGGACCAACTCGAGTCACCATTCCGCTCACCGGCTGGACGGCACGTCAGGCAGATTTGCTGCCACCAAACAATATTTGTCGTCTTAGTACGCACGAATCCCAAAGTAATTTGCTTGCGTACGAAGCAACCCAAAAGGCTATTGTGTGCAGCACATAGAAGATTACGTTTGATTGATATAATGTATATATTTTCTATATCAGTCCTTGACTAGTGGTGTTGCTAAGAATAAGCAAACTAAGAAAATGTTTACCCCCCCAAGTAGCTCAAGGGGCTTCAGGTTAAAATAGAGGTGCACCAAATATCAGTTACAACTCAGATCCTTATCAAATACAATTATTAAAATGATGCTATTAAAATAATAGTAATTAGTTTATTTCCTTAATGATTTCATGCAACTTGAAAATAAGTACGTAATGCCACTTGGTCATTGTACAGTGTGCGTAGTCAAAGTGACGCACCCAGAAAAGGCTTTGCTGAGTACCCTAGCACCACGATCGCCCCTGACCCAGGACTTGATTCCCACATAACCAGAACGCAGCAATAGCACTGGTGGCGAACAGTGCCTTAAATCTGCGCCGTCGCAACCCGCGATTATATAGTTCGCTCGCACTGTTGGGCTACAACTACTGGTTACATTCCTAAAGCCCCCTGTACATCGGCAGTTTCCACATCGTTAATTTATAATCGCTGTTGCGGTGGTTGTCGATTGTTTAAAATAAGGAGAATAGTTTGTGCAGTTAAAAAAATCACCAGAAGTGCTGTTACTGGGCAGTCGCGATGTACGCGATTGGCTCAGGGTGGTTCAGGAAGTTGCCTTTCTATTCCAGTCGGCCACCAAGCTGGCCACACAGCCAGCAATGTAGCTCGCTGTCCTGTCAGTCGCACAGCTGCCCACACAGTTGGCCAGTCAGCTGTTTTCCCCATGGGCCACACAGCTTTTGCCCCATGGGCCACACAGCTGGCTGTCCCATGGGCCACCAGAAGCGCAGAATGAGTCTGTCTGGGCTCCCTAAACACACAGTGACTCCTCGGGAAGATACAAGGGTGTCTTGTAATATAACTTCGTTATTTAAAATTTAAACTAAAGGTGTGAAGTGTACAAACCATTCCATTAGGGAACAAAAGTATATAAAATGTAAAAAAAAACTTTTTTTGGACATTTTTTTGGATTTAAATGTGTAAACCGCATTTCTGGTTGGTGGTTGTTTGTAAACAGCATTAATATATGATTTGGGAAAGGGGTGTGAATTATTTAGAGCGGGTATGGTTTCAGACCATTTTATTTTTAAACGGTTAGCCTTTAAATATCTCATGTTATGTTTTTTTTTTACATTTTTGTATACTCGTTGCCTTATCTCCGCGACAGAAGAAGAAACGCTTTTCACAGAGCGTCATTACTGGTCGAACGGGTGCCGCAGGTGAATGTGTGTGTGCACGAGCACGCCTCGCGTACAAACACGCAGGCGTCGTTTGAAGGGCTACTACGTAATGCACTGTGTACCCTGCGTCATGATTACCTCTGAGTTCCTCCACGAAATAACCCACGATGCCTCAACAAGGAGGAGGAGGAACATCCACACCTGCTCAGCACACTCAGGGAAGAGCGTGGTTCCGCTGTGACGTCTGCCCCCCTCCCTCCCTCCTCCCCGTGGCCTGGGAGATTGAAGTCTGGCAGGAAACAAACAAAAACAGAAAACACACAAACCCACGGTTGTTGAAAGCGAACGAAAACCGCCGCTCACGTTTTTAGAGCGAGGCGGACAGCTTGCGACCCCGCTGCTCACACGGGGACAGTTATGTGTGTGTGTGCGTCTTGGCGTTCTGCTGAGAGATTGAGGCCTTGATAACGTGAGCGGAGAGAGAGAAGACCGCGCCCGTGTTTCACTCTCACGGCGGGCGAAAGGTCTCACTGGCGGAGGTCACCTCTCGATGCAGTTGATCGGGTTATATAATGACTTAAAGCTTTCGTGACTGCAGGAATTCATACTCTTTGGGTCTTTCGGTAAAGTCACGTTACGTGACTTTACCGAAAGACCCAAAGAGTATTGATCGGGTTGTTTTTATAAATTTGTGTTGGAAGCAACAAACGTAGGAGTGGGGTTTTCTGTTGTTGGAACTGTTGTCCTTGACCTTTAACATATTCACAGGTTATAGAATAAGAGGTATAATCAAAAGAGGCCCATTTTATTTAAAGCGCTGTACATAACACGCATTTTAATGCAAACACTCAAACCCGGGGGTTTAACACGGAACGCAAAGTTTATTTAATATATTCACCAAAAAAACTCAAACGTATAAAATAATGTGGTCTTAAAAAAATTGTACCTGCCTTATAACAATTGTGATTTTGAAAGGAATGTGGATTTTAAACATATGGCACTTAATTCAAATGTTACCAAAAAATCCCCCAAAACACTTACAAGCACTTACTCTGGGCCTTGGACCATTTGAGTCGTTGAACCTGCTTAATGAGTATTTAGTAACCGTCGTTAATCTTTGCATATTTACCGGAGACACAAATCTGTGCCATCAAACGTGGCTGGGAGCCTACAATCGCTGGCCCGTCTTGGGTGCCTCTCCGTATCGGAACCGATGCCATGGTCACCGTACCCCGTGACCTTCACTCCGCGATTCCTTCTCCCACGTCGAGGGCTCTGTCTACCGGATTGACAGTTTCGTCTCATGCGTACTGCGTTCAACCAAAGTTCGTACAATCTTGCTGAATTCGAGAACCGTATTAACTCTGATCTATTCGATCTTCAGAAATGCTGTTTGGGCCTTTGAGCCTGTGCGCAGCAACCTTGATAAACAAAAAAACGTCGCTCTCAACATGAAGCAGGTTCCGTCTTCGCCGTGTCACTCACGGCGATTCACTCTTCTGGCGGGGTGGGGGGCGGGGGGAAGAGAAACCCACAAATTTTATTTCGAATTAAGTTTTTTTTAATCGTAAATAAATGCTAAAATGTGAAAGGAATTACCGTACTTTGCTTTTGCGACACTTTAAAAGGCGCAGGCCTCCCTTACTTGTCGTGGGGGTGCGCGACGTGGCAGTGCGGACGCGGCGGTGGTGGTGGCGGCGGTGGTGGTGGTGGCGGTGGTGGTGGTGGTGCGCTGCTTCCGAGCCGCGCAGCAGTAGCTCCTCGCGTCCCAACGCCGCCGGCTGAAGCGTCGCGTCCCAAATCCATAGACGCACTCCTTGCCACCGACTCGGTTTTGTTCTTTTTTTGTGGAGTAAATCAAATACTGTTGTCACTCATAATTTAGTTTGTTTTACTTGCGCATCCGTGATGTCATCACGGTAAATAATGTCGAATCATTTTTGTTTTATCCCAATGCTCTGAGACAAAGCTACATTTTGTAAATTCGTCGTTGGCTCCTTTATCGCACATTCTGCTGGTCACGACTACCAGCTGAAGGAAGAGATATACAACTACAATCAACATTGGAATAGATTGTGGGCACCCTGTGGCTGATTGACTATTACACAGTATATAACTGTATTATATACTTACATTGCTTATTTTAAGTAAATACTGGCCAAAGTCCAAATAGAGGTGTCTGCTTTTTTTTGTAATTTAAAGAAAGTTGATAGTGCAATAATTCATTGATGAGAGAATGTGTTACTAACTGTATACCTTATAATATAATTGGAGATTTTTTTGTGGGTTTTATTCGCTAAGGCTTAAACCTTTTACTTTGTATTTAAGTGAACATCGTCCGACTGGGAGACATCATCTGTATATATTGGGTAATCAAGGGAATTAAGCCAAAGAGTTTTCTCTGGCAAAAACAGGCTCGCAATAAAAACCACGGTTTTACAAAAAACTAAGTTTATCGACTTTTTAATCTTTTGCTGGGTTTTTTTCTGATTAATTATTTTCTCTCTTAAGATAATTTCAACAAAAAACATTTTAAGGCCATGATGATGATTATGTTTTGTGTCCATATCGAGCAAGCGCCGGCAATCAAAATAACAAGAAGAGCCATTATTTACGAATTTGGTACAAAACTCAATATTTCAAAGATCTGCAATGCGTGTGAATACACACACATACACGCACACATACACACAGACAACAACAACCGCCATTCGCCACTAAGTGACGGTGACGTCACCACGACGCTTGTGCCAGGCTATGTGCACCTTGAGGCCACGTGAAGTGTCGAACGCCCGCTGGCAGGAGGTCACGGGGCAGACCCAAGTGCCGCGGGTCGACTGACTAAGATGACTGAGATGACTGGCTGATGCACCACCTGTGCCCCCTACTGTGCCAACCTGCTGTGCTTTAGCCACCCGGCGCTCCGCTCATTGTTGTGAGCGTCGCTCCTCCGCCCTCCGTTGTTGTTGGAGGGCGACTGCCTCCAACTGCCCAGTAGCATTCTTCACGAGCCTCCTCCACTAGAGGCCGTTCTTGACACCGCTGGTATCAGTCATCGGCAAGTCCACTCAGCTACACGTCCTCCTGTACCACATCACTCCATCTCTTCTCTAGCCCGTGCCGCGCCCGTTTAGCCCCCTCGATCCGGCCGAAGAAAAGCTGTTTAGGCATGCGGTGGCTGGGCATGCGGGCTCCATGACCCAGCCACATACATACACACGTACATAACGTCACGAAGCGGTCCGCCCAGAGCCGCATGCGGCTCCGCAGCAGCAGGTTGCCGACCCCTGGTCTAGAGAAGTCCGTCTCTTGGTCTGCGCGTTGTCCGGCACGGTAACCACGGTATCCACGGTACCCACGGTGTCCACTGGTTCGCTCCCAAATGCCGGGAGCTTCCTTTGCAGTACAGTGGTGTGTCTTCAGTGCCTCGCCTTGGCCCTCTGAGTTCAGTTCTTACACGACTCGTGGAAAAAGAGTTTCTCCATCAGTGGGCTCAAGCCGGTGGTGCAGCCAATGCCCTGTCAAACCGACTCCTCGGGCCTCGTGGCGCCAACAACCGCGCGCACTCTCCTCCTAAACCGCCTTCACCGCCAATGACGTTAGCGCCGTACTGTGGTGCTACATATCTTGTAATACGCAAAAATACATCAGTTGTGTAATGATTATATTAATAATTTCATAATCATAATTATCCGTGTTGTACGTACAGAATAGCCTCATTCAGTTTTGAAAATAAAAAATTCCAGAAGGATGCTGCATTTGGGATGTTTGGCTAATCCCATTGTTGAGAGTTTGGCTTCGTACGACAGGGAACCGGAGAACACAAACTGGCATACGAGGGGAGAAAAACACTGGAAGGTCTGCACAGATTTGAGGAAATGTTGGTCATTAGTCATATGCTTGAAAACTACCCGAAACTTAACTTAAAACACTCCAGAACTATTCCTTCCTGACCAGGATACCTTCATCCAGCAGTGGATTGAACATGGCTGATAATTCGATTGTCATCTTTTCACAATTTTCCCAGTTTGTGCTGTTGGTGTTCTGTCATGAGAGGACGAATAGATTCGGATCTCTCATTGGGGACCGCGCTATTTCACACGCTCTGCTTCGAGAGAGTCATGTTTGTGCGCGTGAGAAGTCAAACATATAACAATCCTCGCTCAATTTGGCCAAATTTAGGGCAGAACCAGTCATCGATTACCAGACTTCAGACTAAGAACTCGCTACACCCCGGGAACCCGGTTTGATCACGCGTGGCTGGACCTCGCGTGATCAAACCCAGCATCTCGGGCGGGCCCAGTGCAGCGCTCTGACCTCTGTGCCAACGGGGCGACCCAACTAAAAGGGGGGCACTGCGACGATTGCGCACCGCTGATGTTTACTGGACAGCGCCTGCTGTGAGGTTCGCAGAATGCCAGGTGCTTGGTTTGTTTTCTTTACACCGAGCAGGGGAGAGGCATCACCTGCGCTCCTCGCGAGCGGATTCTGACGTTTTGATGTCCGCAGCCGCGGCCGTCAGACGTCCCGTCCCTCGTCCTCCACACGGGACTCGGGTGAGCCACGTGTTCAATCTTCTGTGTGATGGTGCTGAGGTTTACAAGAATACAAGAATGCGAGAACGTCATTCGTCACTTGACCTTAACAGCAGTCGGGCACCGTAAAAACGTCAAAGGTTTACGAGTCGCAAACTCATCGGTCCTCATTCATCTGGAGGTGGCAGAAGTCCATTGATGTCGAATTCCCAGACATACTCGGTGTGATTCACGTGCTGGTGAATGGGTTTCTTTTTCTCGTGTAATATTCGGTAACAAGATGCCCATGTCTCCGTCACCAACAATGGAGACAGTCACCATGATGATGATGATGGAGTTTTGGCGATTGTGTCCACAAGGACAAACGGCAAACTGGAGATGTAGAGGTGGAGCCCTGCAATTTCTTATTGGCACCACAGCTGGTGGAAGGGACTCTGCTGGAGACGATTTTGGCTTCATCTTCTATGCTGGCCAGACATCTTCATCAAGTGGGAGTAGCCCCACATTACCCCCCCCCCCCCCCCCCCCCCGCATGCGACCTGGTGATCGCCTGTGTTGTACCCATCACATTTGCACTGCTTCGTGGACACAGAGAGGGGGTTGGGGGGGGTTAAGAGACTTGCCCCACCATCTCAACTGCTGTGCCAGGAGACCAAACCAGTGGCCTCTGGATAACAACAAGTTCAGTGTGCTAACCATTACATCACAGAAGCATCCCTGCTGTACTTGTATCTTTGTTGAACTTCTTTCGCACCGTACGGAGCCAACCGTGCTAATTGGAGGTGCGGAGCGGTTCTATTTGTACAACAATTTGGGAAGAATCCTGTTTGTTTATGGAAAGTGAGGATAGATGGCAGGAACGTGGCAGAACGCGATTAATGCGAATCCTCACCCCTTGGTTGGCAGCTTCTCAGAAGTTGAATCTGCCAGTGTTCATGCGCTCCTGTTTCAACCGGTGGGGATCTTTATCACTATTTGTCTGGTCCCACACACATATAGGTACTGTATGCGTGTATCGTGTTATCTGTCAGACGCTGTGACCTAGGACAGGTCACATGAAAGTTGGGCCATGGCAGGCGGCACCATCGGCAGTGGACTCTTGGCACAGCCAGGAACGTTCTGCCGAATGCACCTCGCAGTCCGCAAGGTGACTCAGTTTCCATCGGAAATTCCACGTCTATGCTTCAGCCGCCACCCACGTTTTGTCTGTTATAAAAGCGTCGCGTACAGGAGTACATTCAATGATGCAAAGTCTAGTTATATTGACATTCCAAGGTGGGTTTTACAACCCGATATGCCAGCGTGCTGAAGGATTGCGACGATTCATTTTAATGAACGTGTAAATAAAAAAGCAACAATAAATCTGAGATTCAGCCTTGCGATTCTATAAGGTGTTTCCCAGTCTATGTTTAATAATGAAGTTAGTCGTCGGGAGATCAAAATAGATGCACAAAAACAACCCCCCCCCCCCCTTCCAGGACCATCAACGCCGTTCGCGATCACTTCGCCTGACACCGCCAGCGACGCTGCGGCCACAGTGCGAGCTGCCCGCCTCGCCAACAGGGCCCGGTGGTTTCTGGGTAGGTGACGGATGGGGTCGTTTCAGGTCGCCAACACCCCCACCAACTTCATCGCAGAGCGCAGAGGAGTTCGGAGTTCGACTGCGCTCTCGTTTTAAAAACATCTCCCAAACCGCTGAAGCTTGCTGTGTGTGAGCTACCGTGCACGTGAAAGGCTCCGTAGTCGGCACAACCGGCATCTGTGTCACCTTGTTGAAGGAACAACAAAAAAACGCGGACTCAAAAATCACTCTGAATATTGTGGAATTGTCTCACCGTAGCTAAACCGTGGATGGTGTCCCACAATCGCTGTGTCGCTGCCTTCAGCCGATGTCAGAATCTTTACATAGACCGTAGGAATCCGATGATCTATGAAGCTCTTTTTCACATGCCGCCGAGTCGATGTTTTTTTTTTCCCTCACGCACCTGAATTTTGGTGGCGCAAACTCTCACAGCCCACGGGGCCCGGCGCGTGCCGTGACCCACGTGACCCACGGGGCCACCGCCGCCGTGTGCCGTGACCCACGTGACCCACGGGGCCCGGCGCGTGCCGTGACCCACGTGACCCACGCGGCCGCCGCCGCCTGTGCCGTGACCCACGTGACCCACGCGGCCACCGCCGCCGCATACCGTGACCCACGTGACCCACGCGGCCACCGCCGCCTGTGCCGTGACCCACGTGACCCACGCGGCCACCGCCGCCGCGTGCCGTGACCCACGTGACCCACGCGGCCGCCGCCTGTGCCGTGACCCACGTGACCCACCCACCGCCGCCTGTGCCGTGACCCACGTGACCCACGCGGCCACCGCCGCGCGCTCTCTGAACTTTGCCCTTCCCGCGCTGCCCGCCCGAGCTGACTGCCTCTTTCCATGCGCAAATCTCTCCCCCCCCACACACGCGCGCAAGTTTCCCAAGAGGCTTTTGCAACCGACGGGTGGATGTGGCTTCGCCTGTTTTGTGGCCAACGTTGCCAGATTGCCTCACGATTCGTTTCACTCGAGATAATTTAGGAGGAATAATTGAATGAGCCGCAGGGCAGCTGCGTGCAGTAGCTGGAGGGCCCAAGGCCTCTGACGCTGCAGCCGACAATTCGCTTCGTAAGTTTTGGATGCCGTGGAGTGTGGAGTCAAAGTTTAGTCCGACGTTGCGGCGACAGCAGCGGTGTGGCTGTCAAAGTGCGCGAACTTGCTTCGCTTTAGCAGCTGCAAAAGGTGACTCGTTTTTTGTTTATGGCCACTGCGATTAGCGACTGATTTTTGCGGAATGTGAACGGCGGTCGTAAGTCCCGGCGTAGGACTCTGATGGAAACATGCGCCTTAAAGTCCGCTTCCACCAAATGGTGTGACCTTTG